TTGCCGTGATAAATGACCACAAACTCAGAAGCTTGAAACAACACAAATTCAATCCCCTACAGTTCTGCAGATCAGGAGTCCGGGTATAGCGTGGCCTGCTTTGCCAAAACGAGGTGTCACCAGGGCTTCTTTCCTTTCTGGAAGGGCCAAGAATGAATCCAAGTTCAAGTTCATCTGAGTTGTTGGCAGAGTTCAATTCTTTGCAGCTGTGGGGGCTGAGGTCCCTGTTCCTTGCTGGAGGTCAGCGGGGACCACTTACATCCTTAAGGCCACCTGCATCCCTCGTCTTTTCCTCCCTCCATTGTCCAACCAGCAAGAGCTGGTCCTTCACACTCTTCAAGGTTTTTGCTTCATCCTTCAGCCACATCACTTCTGCTTCAAGCCCAGGAATGCTCTCTGCTTTTAAGGGCTCATCTGATTAAACCGGGCTCTCTCCAATCATCCAGGATGAACTTCCTATTTTAAAGTCAGTAATCTTAATTACACGTGCAATGTCTCTCTTGCCACATCTTCTCAGGTCCCAGGGTTTGGGTGTGGGCCTCTTTGGGAAACCATTATTCTACCCACCATATCCCCACTGGGAGGAGAAAGACCCCAGCACTAGGAAGATAGAGATCTGAGTTTCAAGCCCAGCTTTCCTTGATCAATCGTGTAAACTCAGGACAGGGATTGCTTTGCTTGTCTGAGCCTCAATTTCTTCATCCATGCTCGCACTTATGTCCAAGTATCATGGAGAAGAGCAACTACATTCATTCTTGCAGAGGAGTTAGTGCCTGGCACTCTGCACTGTTGTTACCATGAGGACAGGGGAGGGGGCTGGGCCCCAGGTTCTGGGATCTGCTCTTCAACTTGGTAGACCCAGAAATTGGATTTTCTGGTGTTAGAGCCAGGATTCCACACCTGGCCTCACGAATTCCAAAGCCCTCCGCACACCAGTTGGTGTCGGCCCCTGAGAGGCCCAGCCTCCATAGCCTCCCTCCCTGCCGCCGCCGTCAATAGCAGCTCAGGGCCAGTGTCCCTCTGAGCCATGGCAAGCAGGAGGGAAAACCCTGGATTCAAAGACAAGGCTTTTAGGGAATGACGTTCTTCTGTCCTTGGAAGGGAAGAAGCTACCCTGTGTATGCAAGATCTTGTCACATCCGCCCTTCACTGCAGTCATGTGAGATAGGAATGAGTGATAACCACTTCACCAATGAGGCTAACTGAGGCCAGGGAGGCTAAGGGGAGAAGATGTAAACGAATTAGATGCCCACATTGTTCTGTGCCCTGTGCTTTAGGTATATCTTCTTAAAGACTCCTCTCTAAGTTATTTCCTTCATTTCCAGGGAGAGAAAACAGCTCAGAGAGAGAGGCATCTGCCCAAAGCTGGAAGAGGGCAGTGCCAGGAAGCCCTTCCCTTTGCCAGAGGGCAAACACCCCTTGTGAGGAGAACATGCAGTTTCTGTGATTGTGAGACCCCCACCCAACCCCCGCGTGCCCGTGAGCACCTGCTAGCAGTAGCCCTCCACCATCACCTGTTGAATGAGAGTACTGGCTTCTATTCTGTGCAGTGGCCACCCTTCCAGGCCAGAATACTGGAGTGGGGAGCCTTTCCCTTCTCCAGGGGATCTTCCCAACCCAGGGATCGAACCCAGGTCTCCCGCATTGAGGGTGGATTCTTTACAAGCTGAGCCACAAGGGAAGCCCGTTGAATGAGAGTACTACTGGTTTCTATTCTGTGCAGTGTCCACCCCTCCAGAACCAGCCTACAGAACAGCCAAGGCAGCATAACCCCCTCCTCAGCAGAAATCAGGTCTCAGTTCCTGTACACCCAGAGCTTTGATGAAAGCTTATAATTTCCCGTTACCATAGCAATGCGAACATCTCTATTCCCCTAGGATGTGAGCAGAGCTGCTCCCCACCCCACCTTTTCTCCCAAGCCCCCTCAAAGTCCCTTCCATCTCTGAGATTCTGTGATTCAATTAATTATCAACAACGTCTGCCCCGTTTTTGTCATTTTTCATGTACTCCATCTGCTGAGTCACTGAGTCCTGCTCCGGATGAGACTGGTTATTTATCAGAACATTTGGCTACTGGTTGCCATGGACACCTCACAGCCTGCTTCTCTCATCACCTATTCATTCTCAGCAAGACTGGCTGTGAGTGTGGGTACCATAGCCCCTTATACAGGACCCAAGGGACATCAAAACTCCCCCAGAGAGGGAGGGGGCCTGTTGACGTATGAACAAGAGCAAAATCTCTAGTCTCAACTGTGGAAAAATCGAACACAGCCTAGAGCTAGTTAAATCCATCCAAACCAGGTCAATGCAGCAATTGATCAAATAAGTCAACCAAACATACCATTCGATTTTCTGGTTTTCTGGCAAACCCTTTAGTCTGTTTGTTAACCACTTTAAGATGTATTTTTATATTGAAAAGTGCAGGTTAATATGTCACTTTGAAAACAAAATGAGGGAGGGAGCCCGGAAGTGTAGGAGCCTCAAGGAACTGGCTGGGGCCAGGGTGTGGGTAGGAAGGAGTAGGGGAGGAGGGGCAGACTTGAGAGATGATGGGGAGCCCCAAGCTAAATCCAGCTCAGGGCAGAGGGCATCAAGGGCATGGGAGGGGGGGACGCTCAGGATTTCCATGTAAATCAGGTGAAGGGGCTTCTGAGGCAACCAGGATGCAGCCACCAGGCAGAGAGAGAGGGACCATCAGCCCACGGCCCATTGCTTCTGATAACTGTGACACATCCTGTTTGCAGAGCCTGAAAGAGGGGACAGGGGATCAATACCTAACTCCACACTCACACACTTCCTGTTCTTCAAATATCAATCTGTCGTGAAACACTCTTTCTCTGAATCTAAGGTCATTTGGTTCATCTGAATGGGATGTGGTCCAAGGGATGATCAACAGGTGTCTGACCCCAAGGACACGGCAGGCACTCTACCCGTGACCCCAGGTAGTCAGTCTCCCACCTACCCTCATGTCCAAATGAAGAACTTGCCCCCACCCTGCTCCTACCCCTCACGGTGAAGGTCAGCTCCCCTTCTCTTCCCCCACATCCGGATGACGGATTGAGGACAGGGTGGGGCATGGGTGAGGTACCTGTGCCCACCCCTATTCCTCTGCACTGGGGAGCCTCCCCTCCTGGGGGAGGAGGGCTTGGGAGGGGCCTTGAGGGTTTATAAGTCAGGGCTGGAACACCCAGCAGAGCAGAGGAGTGAGGCTCCAGGCCAACAGCAGCGTCACACACCTCCCAGCTCCGCAGGTGAGAGCACCCAGTAAGAGGGGGAGAGGATGGGATGAGGGTTGATGGGACCCCTGCCCTCATCAAGTTACCAGGCTCATATCTCAGTGTCTCCAGTGCTGGAACCCTTCCTTTAGCCCAGAGCTGGGTTAGGTCTCAGCTCTAGGATCCACCCTGGCATCCCAACCCTTGCCTTCGAGCTGCCCCACTCCTTCAACCAGGGCCCTGCCCTGACCCTCTGACTTCATGCTCACCCCAGCTCTGAAGGGTTAGGATGAAGGCTATCTTCCCATCTCTCAGGTAAGAAAACTGAGGCCCAGAAGGAGATGTGACTTGCCCAAAGTCATACAAATTGGACAGGGTTGGAACTGGAACTCATCTCAAGCTCTTTCATAGTCCAGCACTGCCTCATGGAACTTTCCATGACGGTGGTAATGTTCCGTAGCCTCACTGTGAGATACAGTACTGGCCAGCCACATGTGCACTAGAAATATGGCTAATGTGTGAGGGAGGAATTTTTTTAATATTTATTTTCATTTGTTTATTTGACTGCCCCAGATCTTAGTTGCGGCATGCAAACTTTTAGTTCCAGGATGTGAGATCTAGTTCCCTGACCAGGGATCAAACCTGGGCCCAGTGCATTGTGAACTCAGAGTTATAGTCACTGGACCACCAGGGGAGTCCCAAGGAATTTTTTATTTTTTATTAATTTAAATGTAAATAACCATGTGTGCCTGGAGGCTGCCATATTGGACAGCATTGCTGAGCATGGATTTTTCAACTTCGTTTCTTTAGCAGAAGAACCCTTTCTCTCCCAAAGGAAATTTAACAGAGAAAACAGATGAAAGAAGTATTTCATGTATACAAATGTGTTCTTTGAAGGCAATATTTTTATCATTTGCTTTCAATAAAGCCAATCAGAACAATGAGCCTGAAAGAATATGAAACTGTTGAATCCTCAGAATAGAATTTTAGATTTGTTTGAGCATCCATTTTATTTTTGTATTCTGGTTTTCCCAAACTTGGCTCACCTTGATACAGAGCTACAAATGGTGACAGTTTCAGGGTCTTTTTTTTCAACTGGTAGATTGTAATCAGAGTAGACGTGCATGCTGAGTCACTTCGGTCATGTCCGACTTTTTGCAACCTCATGGACTGTAACCCACCAGGCTCCTCTGACCATGGGGGTTCTCCAGGCAAGAATATTGGAGAGGGTAACTGTGCCCTCCTCCAGGGTATCTTCCTGACTCAGGGATCGAACCCGTGTCTCTTGTCTTCTGCATTGGCAGGCGAGATCTTTACCACTAGCATCACCTGGGAAGAATCAGAGGATAGTCCTTAGTTAAGTGAAAATGGCAGCAGAAACTTCCCTACCACAGTGTGACCCCACCACACAGTGGTGGGCTTCAAAGAAATGCTATCTGCTGCTGAGTGTGTATATCCCATCCATATTACTATTTAAAAGTTCACTTAAAAAAACAAAAAAGTTCACTTAAATCACAAGACTTAAACATTGCAGAGCCACTCACATGGCCTCAAATTCTACAGAACAGTTTGGAAAGCCTTTCTCTGAGTTACAAATTCCTTGCCTTTAAAAAAAGGCAAAGCTTGAGATTGGAGGATCAGGGGAGGAGATGGTAGGACCAGGAGGAACAGTCCACAAGCCCATGCAGAATTGCCAACCTGTCAGCAGGGAGGAGGGTCCACCCTGCCTCTGGGTGCCTGGACAACCCCACCTTTACGCTCAGTCCCTCTCTCCTTTGCAGACAAGATGCAGCGACTGTGTGCACATGCGCTGATCTTGGTGCTGGCTCTGGCCGCCTTCTGCGAAGCTTCTTGGAAGCCCCACTCCCAGCCGCAAGACGCGCCTGTTGCTTCAGGGGCCATTAGGGGCCAGGAGCCACTCAGGATGGACCGGCTGGGCCCAGCCTCGCACCCCCGGAGGCAGCTGGGGCTTCAGGATCCGCCACATGTGGTCGCAGGTAGGAGCTGCTGACAACCGTCCCTGCTTGCCTCACCCTGCCTGGTTTGGCCAAGGCACCCCCAGGCTGGCCCTGGCCACAGTCTCCAGAACCTAGATGTCCTTTCCCCCATCCTCACATCCTCTTCCACCTCCAACCCTCAGACCTGTCCAAGAAGCAGGGGCCATGGGTGGAGGAAGAGGAAGCAGCTTATGGATGGATGGACTTCGGCCGCCGCAGTGCTGAGGAAGGGGACCAACATCCCTGAGAACCGAGCTTTGGAGCCCAGTCACCTCCCAGCCCAGCCCAGCCCCATGAAACACACATCAAAATAAACTAGCTTCCAGTGGATCAAGTTGTGTCAAGTGTCACAGGGCAGGGGATGCAGGTTGGGGCAGGGCTGAGCTGGGAAAGAGGGTTGAGCACTGCTCCAGGGGCAGAGACCATGGCTACGTCTCCTCCGAGTCCCCAGAGCCGAACGTGGAACAAGATTCTGTAGAGTCTATAGTGCGGGGACTTCCCTGGTGGTCCAGTGGTTAAGACTCCACACTTCCAGTGCAGGGGGGATGTGGGTTCAATCCCTGGTTGGGGAACTAAGATCCCACATGCCACACAGCCCCCTCTCCCCAAAAAAAACCCACTTTATATTGTGTTTGGGAGAATAGACAGCAGTGTCACAACCAGAGTGAGCTTTCTAAAAGAGAAATCAAATCATGCCACTCCAGTCAACCCTCCAGTGCTTCCCACTGCAATTAGAATACAACCTAGGCTCACTGGGACTTCTCCGGCAGGCCTGTGGTTAAGACTCTGTACTTCCACTGCAGGGGACACAGATTCAATCCTCAATTGGGGAACTAAGATCCTGTATGCTGAGTGGTCCAGCCAAAATAAGAAACCTAGGCTCCTCGGCAAAGCCTTAAGATCTAGGCCTGCGGTCTTCATCCCCCTCATGGATGCCAAATTTCCTTCCTCCTAACTCTTCCTTTGTGCTACTGAAACACACCATGCTCTCTCCTGCCCCGAACCTTTGTCCTCGTTGTTCCCTGTGCCTGGAATGCTTTTCCCGGGGCATAAACATGCCTGGCTCTTCTTTTTCTCCTGGGTCTTGGTTGAAAGGCCTTTTCCCAAGAGGCTTGCCCTTTCTGCTCCTCACCCTTCACACGCAGCCTCCAGTAGTCTCTAATCATAGCATAGTATTGTCTGTGGAGCGCACTCCACAATCTGTAGTTGTTTTGCTTGTCAGTTTATTGTCTGCCTCCTCAGTTAGAAGGGAAACTCTGTAAGGGCAGGGACCATGTGTCCTTCTTCCCTGCTGTACCCCAGTGCCAGAACAGGAGGTACCCCATAAATATTTATCACACGGACAGGCAAGCGGCTGGCACACACACGTGGCATTTCACCCATATTCCCTTACTGCTCTTAGGCCTGTCACAGCATCCTGCCATAGGCACTTGCTACTCTCCACCTGAGGGTTTTGGCAATGTAAAGCAGCCTGGAAATTCTGGGGAGTTAGTGCCTCTGGAAGCGTCTCTCAGTCAATGACAGATTGAAAGTTGGAGGATAAATACCCCACCTCTGGGACTTCACAGACAGTCCAGTGGTTAAGACTTCACCTTCCTGTGTAAGGTTACAGGTTCAGTCCCTGTTGGGGAGCTAGGATCCCACATGCCTTGTGGCCAAGAAACCAAAACAGAGGCAATATTGTAACAAATTCAATAAAGACTTCAAAAATGATCCCCATTAAAAAGAAAATCTTTAAAAAGAAATGCCCCAGCTCCCTCACCCCTGGGGTGGTGGATTCTGAAATGTATGTTACTCTGTCTTGCAGAGATCCTCAGCAGGACTCAGCCCTAGTTACCCTCAACAGTAACCTGATCAGCAATCTCCTTCCTTGGCTCCCTTCCCTTCCCTGTCTCACATCCTCAGGCTGTTCCTGGTGTTTCTTGAGATCACTACTCAAATAAACTAGTTGCTCTCAAATCCTTATCCCCCAGTCTGCATCTGGGGGGACTCATCCCAAGACAGTGGGTACTAGGGGAGTTGTAGGAAGAAAACCCTTGTGATGGGATTCTGAGATTGGGTCCTGCACCAGTTAGACTCCATTGCTGTGTTAAGTAGGGTGCTCATAACCCCTGAAACATCACAATCATCTGTGGATTTTCTCATCTTACATCACAACTCCATTCTAGTGAGCCTGCCTCTCTGAGCCTTTTGACTCCTTCCTCAGTACTCTGCTGAGGCAATTCAGGAGTCTTCAACTCAATTGCTATAGACTGTTGTTTTGTCTGAGCTTCAAGGAGTCATTCCCAGTGAGGCATTAGGCTTCAAGTGTCTTTGCCAGGAAATTAAATCCTGAGTCATAAGAAAGTGCCCTTGACACTTATATCAATAAACTCTCACCTGGGAATCCCCTGGTGATCCAGTGGTCAAGACGTGGCGCTTTCACTGCTGTGGTCCAGGTTCAATCCCTAGTTGGGGAATTAAGATCCCACAAGCCACATGGCACAGCCAAAATAAAGTAAAATAAATATTCCCCTGGTGGCTTAAATGGTAAAGAATCTGCCTGTAATTCAGGAGACCAGGGTTTGATCCTTGGGTTGGGAAGGTCCCCTGGAGAAGAAAATGGCAACCCACTCCAGTATTCTTACCTGGGAAATCCCATGGACAGAGGAACCTGGCAGGCTACAGTCCATGGGGTCACAAAGAGTCAGACACGATTGAGCAACTAACAGCTTCACACTCCCCTAGCCAATCATTCTACCATTCTGCAGTTCATCCTCCTGGATCTACCAGCCTCAACAATCCACTCCATGTATGTTGTCCTGGTTCCTGCTAGTACATATTACCCAGGTTATTCAGGTCCCGCAGCATTTGGGGGTGAACAATCCCTTTCTTCTGTTATGTGGAGCAGTACTTCTCCACATGCTAGGACCTCATGTTAGCTTTTGATTTAGAAGCCCTTAAGGGAGGCGGGTGCAAAACTCAAGAAGCATCATCGTAGGAGGCATCCGCCTCAAGGAAGCCTTTGCACTCCCCAGGTAAAGGTAAGCTGCTCCCCTTTGACAAGATAGAAGTCCTTCTTCCAGCCCAGAGGATTTCTGGAGACCTAGAGTTCAAGATTCTTTTACTCTTTTATTTAATTGAAGTATTGTTGATTGAAACTGTTGTGTTCACTTCTGGTGTACAGCAAAGTGATTCAATTATACACATGTATACAAATCCTTTTCCATTATGGTTTATTACAAGCTATTGAACATACTTCCCCATGCTATCCAGGCCCTTGTTGTTTATATATGTTTTATATAGTAGGTGGCACTCTGGTAAAGAATCTCCCTGCCAATGCAGGAGACAAAAGAGACATGGGTTCCATCCCTGGGTTGGGAAGATCCCCTGGAATAAAGGAAATGACAACACACCCCAGTATTCTTGCCTAGGAAATTCTGTGGACAGAAAAGCCTGGTGGGCACCGTCCATGTGGTTGCAAAGAGTTGCACATGTCTGAGCACACACACGCACACACAGATAGTGTGTATCTGCTAGTCCCAAACTCCTAATTTACCCCAATCCTTTTCCCCTATGATAACTGTAAGTTTTTTTTTTTAATGGGGTAGGAGATTTATTTAATTGGGCCTTGCTGTGGGGCTTGCAGGATCCTAGTGGGGCTTGCAATCAGGGTTCAAACCTGGGCCACGGCACTGAAAGCGCTGAGTCCTAACCACTGGGAATTCCCCATAAGTTTGTTTTCTATGTCTGTGAGTCTGTTTCTATCTTGTAGATAGGTTCGTTTGTGTCATATTTTAGATTCCACATGAAGTGATATCATACGGTATTTGACTTTCTCTTCCCAACTTCTTTCACTTAATAATCTCTAGGTTCATCCATGTTGTTGCAAATGGCATTCTTTCATTCCTTTTTGTGGCTGAGTAGTAGTCCGTTGTGTATCTGTACCACATATTCTTTATCCTTTCATCAGTTGACGGACATTTAGGTTGCTTCCCTGTCTTGGCTATTGTAAAATAGCGAAGTTATGAACACAGCATGTATCTTTCCAAATTAGAGCTTTCTCTTGATACACGCCCAGGGGTGGGATTGCTGGATCGTATGGCAACTCTATTTTTAGCTTTTTAAGGAGCCTCCAAAAGGTTGGAATTAAAGGTGCCGTTAGGCACTAACTTGGGGATGTGCCCTGGAGGCTGGGACACAGGGTGTACTTCGAACCAGAGGTTCTTAAACAGTGCTGTATCTCCAACAACCCGAACACCTGGAGCCAGGAGCCGAGCAGGAAGTGGCCCTACGACCATCACTGCTGGGCGACCACCTCAGAAATCTGTACTTCCTCTCCCCACGATTCTGGACACTTCTGGACTAGAAATCCTGGTTCCTAGGGGAAGATGCTTCCACAAGCGAAAACAGTAAAGATTCTCCTAAATCTAAAGTTACAGGGGCTTGCTTTAAAAAGAATGAAATAATGCCATCTGCAGCAACATGGAGTGTCATAGAGAACGTCATACTGAGGGAAATGAGTCAGACAGAGGAGAAATATCTTATGACATCCCTTATTTGTGGAACCTAAAAAGAAATTGTACAAATGAACTTACAAAACAGAAACGAACTCACCGACTTAGAGAAGGAGCTTACGGTTGTGCGGGGCAGCAGGGAGGAAAGTGGGGGGAAAGAGATAGTTAAGGAGTTTGGGATGGACATGTACACACTGCTGTATTTAAAACAGATAACCAGCAATGATCTACTGTACAGCACGTGGAACTCTGCTCAATGTTATGTGGCAGAGTGGATGGGAGGGGAGTTGGGGGGATAATGGATACATGTATATGTATGGCTGAGTCCCTGTGTTGTTCACCTGAAACTATCACCACATTGTCTGTTAATCGGCCATACCCCAGTATAAGATAAAAAGGTTTTCAAAATAAATAAGTTATAGGGGCTTGGGAATTCCCCGGCAGCCCAGGGGTTAGAACTCCATACTTCCAAAGCAGGGGGCTCATTTTCGATCCCTGGTCAGAGAACAAAGATCCTGCAAGCTACACAGCACAACCAAAAAAAAAAGAAATAAAGAAAAAAAATGTAAATAAAGTTATAGGGACTGCCTGCAGTTGAGGCGCTTCATGCCATTAGACTGTCAGGCAAAAGTCAATTATTAGCCGGGGTTACTGACCCTGATTAACACGAGGAGCTAGGATGACTGCCTCCTAGTGGGGGCAGGAAGAAGTGAGTATTCAGGGTCTTGCACTCAAGGGAATTCACTGAGCAGTGTCTTGGGGCTTCCTGCCTGGTGAGAACCGTAAACAGGCAGTTGCCCCAACAATAGCCTGAGGAAGATGAGAAATATCATTTAGGGATTCAGGATCAATTGCAGCACTGGTATAAGCACAGCTTATAACACTCATCTTCCAGATGTAATTCTTCTTTATAAGATACTCTGATCAGCCTCCATCTTAAACAAGCAATATCAGGCCAGAGTGAACTCCACATGGGGCTTGAGTGCATCTGAGAGGCACAAGATCTGACTGTAGCAGACCCTGTCAGCAACCTGCCCGCACCCTCAGCACTTGCCATTCTAGCCCACGCTGACCATGGTCCATGACAAACACAGCTAGTCTCTGCCAGAGGGCTTTTCCCCAGCACATGTGCTGAGAGACCAGGGCACCAGAGAGTTAATGCCCCCAGGAGCAGCCCTCAGCCAATGATGACTGAGTCTTGGCGGATGCCTACCCTAGTTTCCACGCCCCTAGGATGGGATAACTGAAATGGGTTCTAGATAGGTGTGTTTCCTACTTTAATATGCATGTGGATTACCTGGGGACCTCATCAACTTGCAGATTCTGACAATATAGGCATGGGGTGGGACTTGAGATTCTGCCTTTCTGACTAACTTCCAGGAGATGTTAATGATGCTGGTCCACAGATGACAGTCAAAGCTGCAACAGGTTGCACTTCCTCCAGGGCTCCCCAGTGTGACTGAGCCTCCATTTTTTTTTTTTTTTTTGGCAGCGCAGCACAGCCAGTGTGATTTTGGGTTTCCAAAACAGGGATCGAACCCATGCCCCCTGCAATAGAAGTTTGGAGTCTTAATCCCTGGACCACCAGGTGAGTACCATCATTGCTGCTGCTGCTGCTGCTGCTGCTAAGTCGCTTCAGTCCTGTCAGACTCTGTGCCACCCCATAGACGGCAGCCCACCAGGCTCCCCCATCCCTGGGATTCTCTGGGGTCTGCTACAGTCAGATCATCTGCCTCTCAGATGCACTCAAGCCCCATGTGGAGTTCACTCTGGCCTGATATTGCTTAGGTTATTTTTTTTTAGATATTTTAAGTTGTTCAGTTATTTTTCCTCGTTGCCATGCAGGCTTTTGTCTAGTTGTGGCAATCAGGGGCTACTCTCTGGGTATGGTGCACAGGTTTCTCATTGCAGTGGCCTCTTCCATTGCTCTAGGGAAGCTCTAGAGCTCTAGGGCTCTAGGGCACTTGGGCTTCAGTAATTGTGGCATGTAGACTCAGTAGCTGCAGGTCCCAGGCTCAAGAGCACAGGCTCAATAGCTATGGTGCGCAGGCTTAGCTGCCCCTCAGCAGGTGAGATCTTCCCAGATCAGGGATCAAATCTGTGTCTCCCACACTGGCAGGCAGATTCTTTACCACTAAGTCACCAGGAAAGGCCCTGTTTGACCCTTGGGAGGGTAACTTTACCTGCCTGGACATCTTCTTCATCACCTGACGATCATTTATCATATCACCCACCCCAGAGGATTTGTGGCTATAATTATGCATTTAATCAACACCCCCAGCACATCATTTGACACTAGAGCTCATCCTCTCTCCACAGCTTTGCCCCTCCAAAGGGCACGCACACATGCACACGCATGCACATGCACACACACCTGTGTGCACTCCCTGAGAAAGATGGCAGAGGTCGGGCCAGGTAGCTCACAGGTCCTTTATTTCCTGCACCAGCACACACACACTGACAAGCAACAGGAGCGTGAGAAGCACTGTGGAGATCACGGCAGATACCAGAGGGGTCCTGGGCCCCGACTCCACTGTCTATAAGTAAAGAGGGGGAGAGGGAAAAACACCTAGAACAGGAAACAAGGGGCATTGAGGAGAAGATGTGGGTGGGGGACAGGGCCTTGGGAGGGGGCCTGAATACTCACAGGTCACAGGTGGGGAGGACAGGAGATGCAGTGGGGAGGCCCCCACCAGGCAGAGGGAGTGCTCACCCACACAGACACTTCTAGTTACAAAGAGTAATTAGGAACTGAGAAGAGCCAAGAACAGGAAATGATGACCAGGTCCCTAAAAGTCACCAAGGGAGCCACGTTTAATTTGGGGGTCAAGGGGTGAGGGGTGTATAGTTAGCAGGGTGCTCAGAACAATTCCTCTGCCCAGGGCCTGAGCCCCGCCCCCAGCTCAGAGCTGGGTCTGGTAGCTGGTGGGGCCTCCGCCTGGGCTTCTTCACCCCGGGAGCCACCACGTGACCCAGGCCCAGCAGCCACAGCTTTTGCACCAGCTGCAGAACAAGGGCCGGGGTTCCTTCAGCCTCTCCCAGAAGAGGCTTGAGGCTTGGGCCCTGAAGTTCCAGTCCAGGCTTGTCTGGGGTGAACTGGGGACAGATCAGGGGTCCTGCTTCAGAGCATGGGAAGAGAGGGTCTGAGGAGAGTGGGGCTTGGCCAGGCAGCAGAAGGAAGGGTCTCAGGCAGTCTATGGGGCCTCTGCAGGCTGCTGGGGAACAGCAAAGCCTGGAAGAGAAGGGAGTGGATGTGAACTGGAGGCCTGAGGACTACAGGCCTGGCCTGGGCAGCACACAGGGGCTGGGCTGGCGCAGCCACATCAGAAAGAGACAGAAGCTGTTGATAGTTATGCAGGCTGTCCACTGCCCAGCCATAGAGGTCACCATTCAGTGTACAACCTGCACAACCGTACAGGGCAACCCTGATGAGGCCACCCAGCAGTGACCAAAGGGCCATCCGAGTCAGGGCAGTCCAGGTGGAATGATGAGGCTGCCAACAGGCTATAAACTTCATAGCAAACCCAGCGGGCCAAGAAGGCACAATAACCAGGTTAGAGAGGAGGGATGGGGAAGGGGAGGCATTATGGCAAAGCAGTGAAGAAAAGAGCTTCAGTGACCTAGAACAAATCACTCTGCTCACTGAAACTCAGTTTCTCACCAAATGGAGATAATATCTACCTACAGGTCTGTGAGGATTAAAAAAGGTAATTTGAGTCACTAAATCATCTTTGATTATTTCCATAAGCTCCTCAAGGCAGGGTCCTCATGGCCCAGGACATGGCCTTTACTCAGTAGATGCTGTTCCAACCTTGGGGCTTCCAGCTGGGGAGAGGAGACCCTTACGGGACCCACCCTGTAGGAGACCCTAGCACACCTTCAGACTCAGCCAGGGGACCGTTCTGACTGTGGCCCTTGCTAGCAGAGGTCTTCATCCCAATTGCCTGGGGGATCCAAGAAGGTCCCCCTTCCTCCCAGGCTTTGGGAGTATGGCTGGCCATTTCCTCCTCCAGCCTCTGAAAGTCCTGGGTTGGCACCCTGGGCTCCAGAATCCCACCCCCCATGTTTGTTTTGGCCTGCTGTTGCCACTGCTGCAGGGTTGGGGGGCCTTGGGGATGGGGGAGGCAGAGTGGGGTACAGGGGAAGGGGGCAGGCAGCTACAGGAAGCTGAGGCACAGCGGGAGGCTGCAGCCCCAGCCCTGACCCCCAGCCCAGCCCCCAGGACCAAAGAGGGTGGAGAACTGGAATCCTATCCAAATATGTAAATAAGCATCAGGGCCACAGTTCCCACTGCTGGGGACCTGAAGGGTCTATGTAAATGATATGCAAAGTCCATGCAAATCAGCATGCTGGGGGGGCCTGGCCTGGAGTAAGTGAGCCCTCGAGGGGCTCATCTACCCTCACTTTCATCAGCTTGATGATCTGCAGCTTGTCAGGCTGGCCAGAGGGAGGCCCCCACGGGAGCACTCACCTTTCTGGATCATCTTCTGCCTCAGCTGCTGCCTGAAATGGGCATCCTGCCAGTTGGCCAGCTGCTGGAGGACATACTTTATGTCCAGGTGCGAGGGGCCCAAGCCACTGGCCTCCAGGGCTGAGGTTACCATGTTCATCTGAGTCGCTTCATCCACCTCCAGCCCCAGGTCCTCCCAGGCCTCAGCTTCTTCAGACACCAGCTCCGCCTCCTCTATTACCCCCTCCTCAGCTGGCGCTGCCTCTTCTGTGGGCCCCAGCTCCTCCTCCTCGGGCACCAGCTCTTCCGCAGGCACAAAATCCTCGGCCGGCATCAGCCCCTCTCCAGCCTCGAGCCCCTGCTCCTGTGCTCGCTCCTCTCTGTAGCATGGCTCATATCTGGGCAGGCAGACAGAAAAGTCTTTTCCTGCTCCCTCTAAGCCAGAGCCTCCCCGTTCATCTGCAGCGCGCGGCTCCAGCCATCGGGGCTCCCACTCAACCCCAGGCTCCACACAGACCCTGATGGTTACTCCCAAGTTCTGTCCCAGCCAAGGGAGAGGGCAGCTGGGTACCAGCCTCAAGGCCTCAAAGACCCAGCCCATGGCCCTGGCATAAAGAAGAATAATCACCAACACTGCACAAGCCCGCCCCTTCCCCCAGTAACTTCACCCTGCTGCACAATAACATCTCCTCTGCCCCCTCCTTCATTATTCAACTTTCATAACCCATCCCAGGTCTAGTTGCCATAGGAACAAATCCATTTTAGTAGGGCTCAGACAGGTCAAGTGACTTGTCCAAGGACACACAGCCAGTAAAGGGCTCAAGCTGGGACTTAGTCCCAGCGTTCCCAGCTCCTAGGCCAGCGCTCATTTGCCTCTTAGGCTCTTGTTGGGAGAAGCGAAGGCTTCAGTACCCACTTGGAGAGGCCTCTAATCAGAGGGCCACCTATGGGGCAAGATTTGAAGGCAAAGGGTTAGAGAATCTTCCTCCCAGAACATCTTAGCCCAGTCGGCCCAAGAGCCAGACCTTCTCCAGGGCTGCAGGATCACAAACCCAGCTGGCTGCTGAAAAGTGAGAGCAAGTGAAGGGGGAGACCCTGGTCGGCTTACCCCAGGTCTGACGTCTCCTCTGGAGTCACTTCATAATTCCTTCAATAGAGAATAGGGCCTTCTCTGTCCCAAGGCAATGGGAAGCTGAAAGTATGAAATCCCTGGGGACCCATGGTGCAGAAAAATCCCAGAAGTGACGGACCCAGAACATGGACACAGAGGACAGGTGTTGAGTGGAAGGGCCAGGGACCGATGAGGCAGGATGAAAGGCACCATGGCGGGGGAGAGGGGTGATCGAGCAAACCCCTCCCATTACCAGAAAGGCTGCTGCTGACCAGGTAGGCAAGAGTGAATGTGGGGCAGGCAAGGGACTGGGGCCCAGAACGCACCTTTCCATAAAAAACACAGGGTCTGAGATAATCCTCCTTATAGACATTCTGAGTTCCTCAACCAGGGTCTCCTGGAAATCAGGAAGTGCCTCCTATGGACGGAGAGGGGGGACATTACCAGAAGAGCCCTCACACACACCTCCAGGCCCAGGAAGGGACTGCAGATAGACACAGGGTGCACAGAGGTAATAGGCAGGAGCCGGGGGCCTCACTAGAGGCACAGTGTATGTGCAGTGGGTGACGGAGCCCGCGGACGCCGGGGCCTGCTGGCGGAGGGTCTTCGCCACCTCCTGGGCTTCCATCAGCATGTCCCCAAACCCCGAGTACTTCTCCTGCAGGTCCTGCAGCTGGGGACCCGCCGACAGGCTCTGCTGAGACCCAAGCGCACCCAGCCCGGACGCCTTGCCCACTCTCTCCCAAAGGGGCCAGGAAGCCTGGGCAAAGAGGCCACGGGCCCAGACCCTAGACCCATATAATGACACAGGGTGACCCCTGGACTCCACTCCATTCAGGCCCCAACTGAACTGCCACCTGCCAGGCCCTGTGCCAGAGCCTGAGTTTGTGGAAAGGACAGACTCAGCCCCTGTTCAAGGAGCCGGTTAGACTCAGGTGGCCACCCAAGGGTCCCGGGAGCTCGGGGGAAGCCTCACCTCACCCTGGAGCTTCATCTGAATTTCTTTCTCCGAAGCCAGCTGCTTCTGCAACTTCTCAGTCTCAGCCCCATACTGGAAGGACCGAAAGCCAGTGAATCCCCATCCCAGGTCTCCCCACACCCCCGCAGCACCTGCTGCCGGCAAGTCTCCCCAGGCACATCAGTGAGTGTCAGCATCTCTTTAAAACAGAAGTCACATCGGACAAGGCCAAAGAAGGTGGAGTCACGTGGCCTGTTTCCTGGAACACCCTGTGTCTCTCTTTAGGCTCGGTCCCGACTTGGGACGAGGGGACAGGACGAGAAGCCCCTGATGTCTCCCCCAACACTGACTCTGACACGAGACAGAGGCCTCTGAGCTGAGTCCCCTGGGGTGAGAGTAGGGACAGGGGGCACGGGTTCCAGGGGCTGAGACAGGAGGAGGAAGCCCCGCATACGCCCCGACGCACCCAGCAGCAGCGCCGCTGCAGCTTCATGACCTGGACCCGCAGCTGGGCGACCTCCTTCCGCTGCTGTTCATAGTTCTCCATCCTGAGCGCCAACACCTCCGACAGCTCAGCCATCTGCTGGCTGGCCTCCGCTGGGGAGGAGTGGGAAAAAGTCAGCCCTGGCTCCCCGGGGCCCTCCCAGATGCCACTGTCTGCCTGCACCCCGCCAGGTACCCAAGGTTCCACGGAGCTTAACATCCCTCACTCAGGTCTTGTTTTCAATAAACGTTTACTGACTGACACGGAGCAGGGTGCTGGGCAAGCAATCAGCAAGACCGGCCCCAGCCCACACTGAGCTCAAGGCCAGTGTGGAGACTGAGGGAAAAATAAATCACAACAGTGCAAATTATGAACTAAGGTGCAGCAAGTGTAAAGGGTGCATCCGGGGTCCCAGCTGCCATACCCAGCCCAGCCTGGCAAGATCTATGAAGCTATGACCTCCACAGGCCAAGTGGGGCTTAACAAGGCAAAAGAGGCAGCAACAGGGCCCCGGCAGGGTGTGGGGGTGCCCAGAGGGGATCACTGGACACCAGGAGAGAGTGCTGGAGCAGTGCGCAGGGCCCGGGAGACTAGGGCTGAGGTAGGGAGGGTGGGGTTTACCCTTTGGCCAATAGGGAGTTACTTGGGCGTTTTAGGCAGAGGATCAACATAGTCTGGCTTTAGAAAACTCCTTTGGGCTGTGTGCAAAAGGGCCTGGAAGATCAGGAATGGAGGCAGAGAGACCATGTAACAGGTGGCCAGGGCTAGAGGTAGCTAGGATGGGGAAGAGGAAGGAGACTTGAGCCTTTCCTAGGAGGCAGAAGCAACAGAATGTGAGGACTCCTACTCCAGGGGCCTGGGACCCTGGTCATTCAGGGAACCCAGGGGGAAGGAAGGCCAGATTTGGGGTAAGGGCAACAGCACCTCACTCCAGCTGTTGCTCAGCTGTTGCCACCTTGAGTCTCTGTCTCCCCAGCTAGGCCTGAACTCCTTGAGGACAAACACTATATCTCACTCATCTTCGTAACCACGTGGTGCCAGACACAGCCTCTACCTAATACAGTGCCTGGGGGAAGGGGGACCTGGTCTCTGGCAGCTCATGGCCCCCTCCTTCTCCCTCCCCAAACAACAAGAGAAGGCAGCTTAAGGGAGCCCCAGAGCACCTATATAGCTCTTAACTGTTTGCACAAAGCACTTTCTCAACTGTAACCCCTGGAGAGGTCAGCAGGGCCAAGATGATTAACCCCATTCTAAAGATGAAGGTTCAGGGAGGTCAAGGGACTTGTCCAAGCTCACACAGCTAGGAAGTGTCAGAGCTGTGACTTGAAGTCCTGGGTTCTTCCCTCTGCTCCTTGGGACAAGCCCCTACCCCAAGTTACAAGTTCACGTACAAAACTGCTCCACACAATCCAGGATGAATATCTGCTCCTCCTCCTCAAGGTCGTCGAGTTGAGAGACCTGGAGGGAGGGAGAAAGGAAGGAGCTGGGGAGTCAACACCCTCTGCCCAGGAGCATGCCCTCTCCCCCATCCTGACCTCCTCTCGAAGCTGCTCATTCTCCTCCTCCAGTAGCCGCAGCTGCTCCTGCAGGGCCTCCTGCTGCGGGCAGTGGTGCGACTCTGACTCCATCACAGGAGTCCTAGCAGAGGGAGTGATGGAAGTCAGGGTGCACGGGCTTGGGGAACCCAGTTCCCAGCCCACCCAGGGCTTCCCCACCCTCCACCCCCACCAATCCCAGGCTGATGCAGTGGCCTTAATTAGCCCCAGGAACCCCACTGGCAGATACATGGTGTTCCTGTTTGCAAACAAGGAAACTGAAGTTCAGAGAAGGGACCGCCCCAGGGCAAAGGCCGGACACTCATGCGGAATTCCCTGGCGGTCCAGTGGTTAGGATGCCGCGTTTTCACTGCTGTGGCCTGGGCTTGATCTCTGGTCTGGGAACTGAGATCCTAAAAGCCATGAGGCATGGGAAAAATTGAAACAAAAAAAAAGGGCAGGACACTCACAGCTCTGAGGCTTCACAGGGATGCTCAGGCCTCTGCTCTTCTTCTTCATCCCTCTCCTCCTCTTCCTCTCCTTCATCTTCATCCTCCTCCTCATCAGAGTCTGAGTACAGCTGAAGGAGGTCATCCCGCAGGCTCACCTGCTGTCTGAGATGTAAAATCTGGCAGGGGAAGAGGAGCCCAGGGTCGGGTGCGGGCAGAAGCAGGCACAGACCCTGGCACAGTGGGTTGGCGGCAGGCCTGAGATACACCCATCCCTGATCCTCCCCACCCAGGTACCTCCTCCTTGGCCAAGTCCAGCATGGCTTCCAGCTTGCTGTTCTCCTCCAACAGAACACTGTTTTGTTTCACCAGGGACTGGCCAATGCAGGCTGCCGTGTTCAGGTCCCGCTCTCTCTACAGAAGGACACCCATCCGTTGGGGAATAGAGTTCCTGGCTGCTGGAGTCTCCCAGACACGTGGGAAAAGCTAGGGGTCAGAGGGAAGCAAGGCCACTCGGGGAAACCCCCTCCGTCCCCTAGTTCTCCAAGGAACCAGACAAGAGCTTATCATGAACCCACTGTAGGACCTGACTCAGTTTCCCCCTATGAAAAAAGAGATCAGACCGGATGGCGCTAAGAGCTCTCCAGCCTGAACATCCCACATCTACCTGTCTTCCACAAGAGGGACCTCCAGCTTGGCCCCCAGAGAGATAGCCAGGAAGACACCTATCCATACTGACATAGTGAAAATGAGAGCCTGGCTGAGGCTAGGGCTGGCCGGGGTAGGGCGGGCAACACACACCTCCTCCAGCAAACTTAACATCACTTTGACCTCTTCTTGGGTGATCTTCTGGACAGGCGGACGTAGGTCAGGACACAGTACTGCAAGAAAAAGTGGGCAGCCGAGTCAGGAAAAAGGGAGCATATAATACCCAGCACCATAGTGTTCAGGGCTTCCCTGGTGGCTCAGCAGTAAAGAATCCGCCTGCAATGCAAGCGACCCGGGTTCAATCCCCGGGTCGGGAAGATCCCCTGGAGAAGAGAAAGGCAACCCACTCCAGTATTCATGCCTGGAGAATTCCATGGACAGAGGAGCCTGGCAGGCTACAGCCCATAGGGTCGCAAAGAGTCGGACATGATTGAAGTGACTGAGCACGCACGCACCTTACTGTTCCCTGCCCTCAACAGCAAGGGCCAGCAAAGAGGAGGAAGACAGAATTCCCTTTCTGCCGCCAATATCCTCTCCATACCCCGTGTAGTCAGCACTCCCTTCCCTGCTCTCAGGGCCAGCTAGACTCAATTGTTCCCCCTCGGGGGAAAGGTACTGAGTGAGGTACTGTGATCACAGTCCTACAAGTCCCTGGAACCTAGGAGATTGGAGGCGGCCAGCCGAAGTTCAGTGCCGACTGACTCAACATCCCTTACCCAGAGGGCAGCCCTGGCCAGCTCACTGGAGCCTCACGGGTCACAAAAACAGACGCAGTCACTCAGGCCGCACCTGTTGCGCGAGGCAAGAAGGGAGTACTGGGGGAGGGGCCACCTGAGCCCCTAGACACAATCTGGGGAGCTCCAGCGCCCCAGAAGAGAGGGGAGGAGGGAGGAGGAGAGGCAGCTTCTGTCTGAGGCTCCGCCCACCGCCAAGATTGTTTTGGGAGGGGAAGCCGGATCTTGATCCCGGCCTTGGCAAAACCGCTCCCTCTGCCCACCCACCTCCCCATCGCTGGCGCCACGGACCAGCGCAGGCTCCGCGGGCACCCGGCAGCGCCTACCCGCAGCCCCCTGCCCCTCCCCTAGTACTGCGGTAGCCCTGCGAGGGGGCAGTGAAAGTGCGCGGGTCTGCCGCAGCAACAGGCGCGAAGAGGGGGCCCGGGGCCCGACCCACCGACGGAAGTCTGGGAGCGAGAGAAGCGGGGAAGGATACGGGGAAGACGCGACCGGAGAGGCGCCGCAGACCGTGACTTCGCGAGGGTGGGCGGAGGGGTGGGACTGAGGGCCAGCGGGCGCCTGGATCCGACGGGGCCCCCTCTTCCCTTCTGCTGCCCTAGTCCTACTAGTCCTCCTCCGGGGGCCCCGGGACCAAGTTTACCTTCCTCCAGCTTCCGAATAAAGGCGGCGCGCTCGGGGCCGGACACCCCAGGCCGCTGGCCGATGTAGGCAGCCGGTGTCTGCAAGATGCTCGTCGCCTTGCCAGTCCCCAGGCCACTGGCTCGGGGACCAAAGGGCGGCCCTTGGAATATGAAGCGAGTCCGCGACGCATCCGAGTTGTCGGGTACGGACTGGGCATTCTCCTGGACGGCCGAGAATGCGGATGCGCGCTGGGTCCAGCCTCCGATCCAGTCACCGAGGCCCGGCGAGCCCCGGCTGGGAGTCCCGAGACGGCTGCGGAACCGGATCCTGCTCTCTGTCCGGTCGCGGGTGCTTGCGCAGAGGCGGGTTCAGGCACTGCAGAGGGCTCCGGAGCCGGACTGGTTGCGGGTGGAGGAGCTGCGGCTACTGCCTCCGGACCCCCGGGTCCCAGCCGGGTCCCGGCAGAACCCGGCCCCGACACCTTAGGGCGCATCTTGAGTCCGCTGTTGACTCGCGCAGCTGGGGCTTTATAACCTGTCATGATGCGCGCCCGCCCGGCCGTACCACGCGCGGGAGGTGGAGGCCATGGAGCAAATGGTGGTCCGGGCCGAGGAGACGCGCGGTGGGACGAGTTTACGGGGGCGGACCAGAGCACAGAAAGTAAGGGAAGCGCGAGGAGAAGGGGCGAGTGGACGTTCCAGCTGTCTCCGCGGACTTCGGCTCCGAGTACTAGCCTTCTCTCCCCTGACTCCGGAGAATGGTTTTGCCCAAAGCCGCAGCTTCCCGGGGATTCGGGTACCCGGACTTGGAGGTCTTTAACTGGGGGACAGCCGCTAGTTCCGCTCCAGCCCGAGGCTTTTCGGCTGCCTTCCCTGGAGCTAATCTGTGAGTTGAGTCTTTCCCCCGCTGATTGGGGGATCAATCCAAACTCAAAGTACGGTCTCCACGCGCTGCCGGGTCTGGCGCGTCACACACTGATCCTCGCGCTACACACAACCCTCCACACAACCCCGGTGCACCAGCCGCTCGACAACCTTCTTATTTCTTAAGTCGTCTTATTGCCTTTCCTTGTGCTTTCCCTCCGCCCTCATTCACTTTGCCCACCTCCTACCACACTGGCAAACACCCATTCTTCCGGGAGACCCCTGTTAGGTGTCTCGCATAAAAACTCCTCCGACCCGGTCCTCCTCGGTCCCGGAGCATCCTTTATGCGATGGTCGCAGTGGTCACGCTGTGTCTGTCTCCAAGACAAGACCTGCGCTCAGCGCAGGACGGGTCCCTGTGGGGGGCTTCCGTAAACCCTGAATAAACTGGAGCAACAGAGAAGTTCAGAGGCCATCTCTGTGCCTTTGGACTGAAGGAACCTACAGACCAAAAAAGACGGCTACGTCACTGATTCTTTTACAGCCTTGGGACTATTCTTGGTGCCCCAATTTCCTTCTCTTCAATACTGTCAGTCACCAGATCCTGGTTAATTTCCCTCCTAATGTGCCCCCTCCTTTTCGGCCCTCCTGTTTATGCCTGATTCTCTCTTCTCATTCTCTCTTCTAAACTGTTGTAATCCTATGCTACCATCCACCCCGCCCCCATCCACATGAATCCATCTCTAATCTAACCCAGCCCTCTCGCTCACACCCCCATCCAAGCTAAGGATTATTCCAGGAGCCCTTTTCCTACAGCCAGCACTCAAAGCCAGAGCCCAGGACAGAGGCTGTGCCCAAGGTCTGGGCCTGGGACAGAGGCTCCTACTGCTGACAGCGTGAGCAAGGTATCCATGACACAGCCTGGAACAAGAGGCGCAACCCAGAAAGGAGAATCAGAGTGTCCCACTCCGACCCTGCCACTCCCCTGGGCCACCACAAGTATGTTCTCTATGCCTGTGAGTCTGTTTCTGTTGCATAAGTAGGTTCACCTGTGCCAGACTTTGGATTCCATATATGAGTAATATCATATGCTATTTTCTTTTTCTGTCTGACTTACTTCACTTAGTGTAATAATCTCTGGGTCCATCTATGTTGCTGCAAATGGCATGTTTCATTTTTTATGACTGAGTAGTATTCCTTTGTGTATACACACCACATCTTCCTTTTCCATTCATCTGTTGATGGACATTTAGGTTATTTCCATGTCTTGGCTATTGTGAATAGTGCTTTTATGAACATTGAGGTGCATGTGTCTTAATAAAATCTTGCTTTTAGGGAATTCCCTGGCAGTCCAGTGGTTAGGATTCAGCACTTTTATGACCAGGTCATAGGTTCAATCCCTGGTCAGGGAACTAAGATCCCACAAGCCCCATGGTGCAGCCAATAAATAAACAAAATCTTACTTTTAAAGTAATAATACACAGACACACATTACCCCCTGAAAACTCCCTCACTTTCTACGATGAGTGCAGAAAATCAGTTGTTGGCATCTCTCTACTTTGTCATCCCAAATATTCCAATCTTACATAGTTTTACTATCCTTCTGGCCAACAGGAGTCCAACTTTTTGGCAGCACTTTCACTCCTGTTTGGGGCTCCCAACTCACCCACCTGCACCTCTGCCATCCCCTGTCATCCCCTCCACTTGGCCATACAGGATTTCTCCCGACTCTTGGAACCTGTCATGCTTTCATTCATTCACCCAACAAGTCTTCACTGAGCCCCTGCCAAGGGCCTGGTTCTGTTCTAGGAACTGGGGATACAGTGATGAACAAGACAAGTTCCCTACCCTCAGGAGCTTCCACTCCAGGAAAACAGATGAGGTAACACTAACTATAATGTCACATGGTAACACCACCTATGATATCCTCTGGCGGTAAGCATTGTGGGAGAGAAAAACAGCCAAATAAGAAGAAGGAGGATCAGATGATACTGTTTCAGAAAGGGTGTTCTGGGAAGGCTTCCCAGAGGAGGTAACATTTGGACAGAAACCAAAGTGAACTAAGCAAGTAAGCCCCACCTACAGTCAATCCTAAAGGAAGTCAATCCTGAATAGTCATTGGAAGGACTGATGCTGAAGCTGAAGCTCCAATACCTGGCCACCTGATGCAAAGAACTGATTCATTGGAAAAGACCCTGATGCTGGGAAAGATTGAAGGCAGGAGGAGAAGGGAATGACAGAGGATGAGATGGTTGGATGGCATCACCAACTCGATGGACATGAGTTTGAGCAAGCTCCAGGAGTTGGTGACAGACCGAGAAGCCTGGCATGCTGCAGTCCATAGGGTCACAAAGAGTCAGATATTACTGAGAGACTGAACTGAACTGATACGGGGGAAGAGTTGTTCAGGCATGGGAAAAGTAAGAACAAAGACCTGAAGACTCGTGCGTGCTTGGATGCTCCTGGGATAAGACATCACCAAGGATTTTCCAGTAGGAGAGCAACATGGTCTTACTTACATTTATAAAAAAATTACTTTGGCTGCTGAGTAAAGCAGGGATTCCGGAGCAATGCTGTCCAATAGAAATTGAATGGGAGCCATAAACACAAACCACAGATGTAATTTTATCATATTCTTTTCCATTGTGATTAATCATAGTGTGTTGAATATAGTTCCCTATGCTATGCGGTAGGACTTTGTTGTGTATCCATCCTATATATAATAGTTTGCATCCGGTGTTATTTGCTCAGTCATGTCCAACTCTTTGAGACCCCATGGACTGTAGCCTGCCAGGCTCCTCTGTCCATGGAATTCTCCAGGTAAAAATAATGGAGTGGGTTGCCATTTCCTTCTCTAGGGGATCTTCTCAACCCAGGGATCAAACCTGGGTTTCCTGCATTGCAGGTGGATTCTTTACCATCTGAGCCCCCAGGGGAGCCCCAAGTTTGCATCTACTAACCCCAAACTCCTCAATCTATCCCTCCCCCACCCCCTACCCCTTGGCAAATGTATGTCCGTGAGTTTGTTTTGTTTCCCCACACACGTAATTTTAAATGTTCTAGCAGCTGTATTTTAAAAGCTTACTTTTTAAGCCAAAAAAACAGGCAAAATTAGTTTTAATAATATATTTTATTTAACCCAAAATATTAATCTCCAAAATATTACTTAAACATGTAATCAACACAATTACTAATGAGATTACATTTTTATAGTAAATCCAGTGTAACTGTAACCTTACAACACATCTCAATTTGGACTAGCATTCATTCTTATCTTTATTTCCTTAAATGTAATCTGTCTTTTTTTCCTACATGCTTTTAAAATGCTCTCCATCACTGGCTTTCAGCAACTTGATCATGATGTGTTCTGGTGGAGTTTTCTTTTATTCTTCTTGGGCTTCACTGAGCTTCTTAGATTCGTGGATGTATAGCTTTCATCAGAATTTGGACACTTTTCAACTTTTATTTCTTTAAATATTTTTTCTAAGTCTCTCTTCTAGAGTTTCAATTCTAGTGGTATGTTAGACCACTTGACAGTAACCACAGGGCACTGAGGCTCTGTTCCTTGTCTTTTTCTTTCAGCCTTTTTCTCTCTGTCCTTCAGTTCCCATTGTTTCTGTTGGTTTATATTCAAGTTCACTGATCTTCTTTAAGAAACAAAAACAATTTTTTTTCTTGTGATGAGAACTCTTAGGATTTACTCTCTCACTGACTTTCATATATAACATGCAGCAGTGTTCATTATATATATTGTGTTATACATTACATCCTTGGTACTTTTATCTTTTGACTGCCTTCTCCCACTTCCCCCTTCCCCTGCCCCCCACCTCTGGTAACCACAAATCTATTTGTTTTTAAAGTATAGTTGACCTACAACACTATGTTAATTCCTGTTGTACAACAGTGACTCAATACTCCTATACATTTCAAAATGATCACCATGGGAATTCCCTGGTGGCCTACTGGTTAGGATTCCAGGATTTCACTGCCTTGGCCCAGGTTCAGTCCCTGGTCAGGGAGGGAACTGAGAGCTGCAACCCCCATGATGTGGATCACAACAAATGGGGGAAAATTCTTCAAGAGATGGGAATACCAGACCACCTTACCTGCCTCCTGAGAAACCTGTATGCAGGTCAACAAGCAACAGTTAGAACCATACATGGCACAACAGACTGGCTCAAAATTGGGAAACGAGTACATCAAGGCTGTATATTGTCACCCTGCTTATTTAACTTACACGCAGAGCACATCATGAGAAACACTGGGCTGGATGAAGCACAAGCTGGAATCAAGGTTGCTGGGAGAAATATCAATAATCACAGATATGCAGATGATACCACCCTAATGGCAGAAAGGGAAGAGGAACTAAAGAGCCTCTTGATGAAAATAAGAGAGTGAAAAACCTGGCTTAAAACTCAACATTCAAAAAACTCAGATCATGGCATCTGGTCCCATCACTTCATGGCAAATAGACGGGTAAACAATGGAAACAGTGGCAGACTTTATTTTCTTGGGCTACAGAATCACTGTGGACGGTGACTGCAGCCATGAAATTAAAAGATGCTTGCTCCTTGGAAGAAAAGCTATGAAAAACCTAGACAGCATATAAAAAAGCAGAAACTTCATTTTG